TGTTGCCTGCCCTGTGCCCGTGTTGGATTGTCACACTGCTCAGACACTGCAGGAGAGGGGAGCCGCGGCCACGGGTCCCGCTGTGCACTTCCCACGGGGTCCCCAGTGACCAGCCACGGCCGGGTGTCCTGCTCAGGTGAGGAAGATGTCGGTGTATTGCTGCTGGAAGCTGGTGCCGGTGCTGCTGGAGGGTTTGCTCCACGCACTGATTCACAGCCAGGGCAGTGGCAGCAGCAGCTCTTCAGTCGTTATCCAGAGCCAGAGGAAAGTCCGCTCCCACCCGTGGCATTCCTGGCCACCGCAGTGTCCTGGGCGCTTGCCCACGCTCTTCTGGCTTGGGGGGCTCCCTGAGCACCTCGAGATCTTTGCTCCTTTCCACTCGCCTCCTCCAAGGCTTCTCGTCACTTGTGCTGCCCCACTGCTCGGGTGAACCACAGGCCAGGGCAGTGCTGGGCTCACGGTGCTGACCGGGGGGCAGCTCTGTGTGCTGGTGCTGCCCCATCCACTCCGTGCCACCGCCGCCGGCTGCTCCAGCTGCTCCCTTCCCGTGGGGCTCCAGCACAGCTCCAGTGCAGGAACTCCGCTGCCATCTCCGAGCACGGGTCTGTCCCTCCGGGTCGGCTCTCAGCTCACGCAGCACAAAGTGTCTCCCCGGGCAAACCCCTGGTGCCGGGCTGGGTGCAGGGACGCTGGCAGGGGGACAGGAGACATCCAGACCACTCTGGCTGTGAGGACGAACACAGAGCCTGTATTCTCCGGGGCTTCCACCAGTGCTCACGTGGAAAGAAAAGCCGCTTTATGCAGCCCATAAACTTCTCATCCACCCACCGTGGCTCTGCTCCGGCCTGTGCCTCTGCATCCCGACCTGACCCCTTGGCGGGCGCTGCTCTGGCCCTCGAGGACGCTCCGGACTCTGAAACGCCTTGTACGTCTGTGGGCAGCCACCTCTGCATCACCTAAAAGACACCGGGGGGTTTGTGTGCAGGAGAGGAAGGAAAACAGCAAGCAAAAATAGGGCCTGGCTCTTTCATTCACGTATTTATTGGGCGGGCTGTGGTCAGCTGGGCTTCGGGCTTTACAGACGGGGATATTTATAAGGCCCGCGGAGCGGCTCGGCGTGTGCGTCCGACTCATTCCTTCCCGGCACAAGGTATAATGTTGCCTTTGTTCGGCTGCCTCCGGCACAGCGGAGCGTGCCGTGCCGTGCCGTGCCGCCTGGCCGGGCCCCTCGCCGTGCTCCCCGCTCCGGCAGCCCCGGCACGGCCCCGCTCCTTCCACACACACCACGGCCCCGGCAACTGCCACGATAAATCAATAGGAGAGGAGAGGCTGCCAGTTAGACTAAACAAGTGCATTTGCAAGGATTGCTAACCCTCATTAATCACTCTGACAGTCCTAAAAACACATTTCCCCTTTAATGACTGTATTTGGATAATCAGAGCTTTTTCCTCGCAGCGCGGGGTGAGTGACGGCGGGCGCGACTGCGGCGAGCGCCGGCACCGGGGTCACCGGCGAGTCAAGTGCTGGAGGTCCCCGGCAGCTCGGGGTGAGCTGGAAAAGGTGCTGCTGTGCCACGGGGAAAGGAGCCACCAGCACGGCCCCAACCCTGCTGTCCCCATGCCCGACACCCACCGGTGTCCTCCCAGCCCCAGCTGGGCTTGAAAAGGCCTTTTTTCTGTCACTCTGCGTTCCCTTTAGGTGACTTTTGCCTCCTGGAGAGGTTTGAAACCTTGCACATTTTTCTGTATAAATGATGCAACACATTAATGCACAGCACATTATGAAAATGGTAATTCAAACCCATACAACTCTAAATTAAGCCATACATTATCCGACCCACTCAGCCATATATTTTGCAGAAAGACAGGATTGAATCAAATCAAACCGAAACTGTGGAGTGCAGGTTGTTAGACAGAATGATTAATAAAGTGCATCCCAGTGCTCTTATTATAAAATGAATTCCGCAATAACCTGGGCATACATTACACGGGGAGTTATTTAATATATTGGCAACGCAACTGTTCCCCAGCAGCTCCAGCCCAAGTGCCACCACTATCAGATGATACTCGCACTGTTTACATGGTCTGGCCCTGCTGCTGCAGTCTTTAGGGAGGGGAAAAAGATTCCTCAGGGAACCTCCTGTGCAGCAGGATGCATCCGAGCAGCATCCAGCTTGGAGGGAAGGTGCATGGGCTCAGTTTTGGAGCAGGGAGCATCCTGGAGAAAGGAGGGTTTGGGGGAGAGGGGAGACAGGGCTTTGCCATAAGGGCAGGGATGCACCCGGCAGCTCTGGGAGAGGGGGCTCTGGCAGGACAGGGGCTGTGCAGCCCCTCTCCCCCTGCCCAGGTTGCTCCACTGCTGGCACGTGGCACAGCCCCAGCAGCCCGGAGACCCAGAGCCGCTGTGCCAGGCGTGCTGGTTTTGGCACCACACTGGGCCATCGCACTGGTTTTGGCACCACACTGGGCCATCGCACTGGTTTTGGCACCACACTGGGCCATCGCGCTGGTTTTGGCACCACACTGGGCCATCGCGCTGGTTTTGGCACCACACTGGGCCATCGCGCCTCCGGCACGTCCCGGGCACTGCGGCATCGCCCTCCCGCCCCGCGGCACCGGCAGCAGCAACCAGGCCACAGCCAGGGAGAGGCACCGCGGGGCAAAACGCCGGTGCAGGAACCTGCGACAGGCCCGGCATTTCGGAGCCGCAGACGAGGAGCTGTGATTTATGCCGGGGACGGGCGGTGCCTGAGCGAGGCCGACATGAGCGGCATCGCTGTCAGGAGTGGGGGCGACATCCAGGGAGCAGCGATGCTCCCGAGGGACACGGGGGTCTGGATACCTCCAATATGCCCCCGGAGGGGATGGTAGCACCGGAGCTGCTCTGCCCACCGCCCCACAACGTCCTGCGAACAGCCTCAGCAAAGCCCCCCTGCTCCAAGCCCACTTCTGCAAAGCCCAGGCCCTCCTCCAGCAAACATCCTGCCTGGAAGGAGCGGGACCACTGCAGGCAGAGCCAGACCCCAGCCACATCCACACGGGGCAAGGGTCAGCCATAGACCCTCCAAAACAGCCTTCCCCAGCCTTGAGGAGCTCAGAATGGTGCTGCCCACCCCTCCAGTGGCCGAGGGGTGACTGGCCTCCGGACCACCAGCCTCTCCCATTGCCACAGGAGACCCCAGCCAAGCCCTCCTGCCGACCACACGCCCCCAGCCGCGCTCGAGGAACGGGCAGGAAAACAGAAATCCCTTTGGCAAAAGCAGTCCCTGTTCCCAGCACGTTATTTTTCAGCTCAGAGGGCACAAAGGAATTTAAACACAGGGCATAAAGCAATATTGAGAAGGCAATTAACAGGGATTAATTGCGTGACTCACCCGAAATGCAACAGGAGGGAGGCAGAAAAAACAAAGTGGTGTGGGGCAATGGGGCGCAGGGGTTTCCACCGGGGAGTGGGGGCTCGGCCGGGGGTCCCACTGCTGGAGTAAAAGCCCTTTCCTTGGGGAATGGGATGGGCAGGTGGGTGGCAGCCCCTTGCCTGGCACAGCCCCTGCCTGGCACAGCCCCCTGCCCGGCCGAGCCCCCCAGCACAGCGGGATGGAGCCAGACCGACACCAGAGCCATTCATCACCCCCATCTCCTGGCACAAAGATCAAATGGGGGGACAGGACCTGCACCAGCTCCCGGGGGCCCTCACACCGAGGTCTGGGACCCCGCTTCTGCTGCATTTCCAGCCCTAAAACTGCACCCCCGGTGTGCGGAGGGGGTGCGACCACCCGCTCCCCACAGCGACTCGGGGGCACCGGGGCTCCCGCATCGATCCCCGCTCAAACACCTTCTCGAACCTTCCCTCCGCCGCCACGCGTGGGAACACCGAGGGTCACGGACACGCGGGGAGGAAGGGGGGGGACGGAGGGGCACCGCGGCGGCTCGGAGCCCCCCCGGAGCCCGCCCCGAGCCCCCCGGGGCCGCGCTCGGGGCTCCGGTGCTCGGTCCCGCGGGGCTCCGGTGCCCGGGACCCGCCACCACTAGATGGTGCTGAGACCCCGCGGCCCCGGGCGGACCCCCCCGGGAGGGACGAGACGAGACCAGAGCGTGGGTTACAACCAAGAGCCGTTTATTAACAAAATCAGACTTACCGGGGGCTCGTCCGCCCGCCCGGGGCCGCCGGTCCTGCCGCTGCGCCCGCCGCTCCTCGAGCCCCCCGGGCTGGGGGCGTGGGGGGACACACGCGGGGTCCTGCAGCCCCACGGCGGGGCACGGCCGCGGGGGGAGCACGGCTTGAGGTGGGGAGCAACCATCGCCCAGCCGGCATCATCCACAGATTTCCCCCTCCCCCGGGACCCCCGGACACAGCGCAAAAAAAAAAAAAAAAAAAAAAAAAAAAAAAAAAACCACCCCGAAAAAAAAGGAAAGAAAGAAAGAAAGAAAAAA